TTCTGCTTTGCGTTTGTGTGGGAGCCCCGTCAAAAACCTCTCCATTATCTTGGCAGTGTCTAAGCATTCTTTAAAAAAAAAAAAAAAAAAAAAAAATCATACTGTGACCCCCCCACAATGGCTCTGAAGACGTTTGCACTAGTTCAGAGTTTTTCTGACTATGGAGCACAGGAAAGGCAGCTAACTCAAGTGATGAAATAGTGTTCTGTCTGTACTTAACAGACCAATTTTAAATAGTACTTTTAGGCACTTTGTTAGTAGCAGCCATTCTCATTTCTTTAATTGAAATCATGAAAAAATGCCAAAGATAATTGTTTCACAAGCATAAAACAGTATTTTTGCAACAAGGCAATTCGCAAAAAATCTTTAGCCAAAAACTTGGCATATTTTGGCATGGACTTCACTGTGTTCTTAAATAAAATGTGTAAACTGCGCAAGTTGAGGACAGATGGAAAAAATGGCAGTCCTTAAAAGGTATTTAAAGCAGATAAACTGTTTCTTAAAATCATGTCTCAAGACCTGAAACAGGAACTGAGAGATTAGTTCTTTTTCTAACTTCGCTCGGTGTTTCACTATGGGAATCGCCTCGGCGTACGAGGGGGCGGAGCCCTGAGCACGGCTCGACAGGTCTGTCATAGACAGACGTGGTGTCATTGGCGCTTCCGTAGTTGGTCACGCCGAGGCGATTCCCATAGTGAAACACCTCACTCTGTTATCAAAGAACCAGGGATTACGTTAAGTAACCCAACGTTCAGTTCATCTACTCTTTGCTGAAGCCTCATCAGAAATGGTCTCGTGGAAGGATGGCTGTCAAGAAGCAGGGAAACAGGGAGAAAAGGCTGACGTATACTAAATTACACAAAAACTACAGGACCAAAAAAACAATAAGTGAGTTTTATGGAGTATTAAATCTATATTTTACATTTTCTGATTTAAATTGTCATCAGTACATATGAAGGAGGTCAGGAGGGATGTCCAACTGTCAATGTCTACAGTTATCGGTAAAACACAGTGGAGATGCTGTTATGGTTTAAGGCTGCATTTCACCCGTGGTGTTCGAGATCTTTTTAAAATCTATCTAATTATAAATATAGGAAAGACTTCGATCAACCATGCAGTACCATCTGGAAATGGTCAGATTAGCAGCTGCTTTATTTTTCATCATAATTATGATTGCAAACAGACTATCAATGTGGGAAACAGATATCTGCATAAATACAATGGAACACTATAAGTCATGGTTTGGAATCCAGAGCCTGGACCTCAACATTATTGAAGCAGTGTGGGAATGTCTTGACAGAATGTTATGGGGTTCGATTTCAACTCACTCTTCAAAGACTGGTCATAAATCATGAAATTATTTAGTTGAATTGGTGCTTTTTTCTTTCTTTTTTACATTTAAAACCAATATTAGGTGCCGAAGTTAAGCACATTGGAGATGCCATGCACAGAACAGCAAAATCTTCTAGGGTGAGACTACATTTTCTATTCTGTCCACGAGTTTAAAAACTTTGAAGAAAACTCTGCTTTATTCATTCAGAGTGTATAGCGCAAAGTCAATGTCAGAGTATCCTTGGAGACGGTTTGAGCAGAACATAAATTAGATGTGAGCGCCATGTGTGTGGGATTACACTCACAAAATCAATCATACCAGAACTCAGATAAGTGTCTGTTGTAGTTCCAGACAATCCTATGTGTACCGAAGTTGATCCCACAGCTGATGACTCTGAGTGTATCTCCATTTCAAATATGCCAACTCTTTGAGGTAATTCATGAAGTGAGAGTATTTATGGTAAAGTGGATCCCTCTCTAGTTATGTAGTGGATGCATATTTCAGGTGGAGTGGTAGCATAGTATCTGTGTGAAGACAGTTAATGGCTTAAGCCTTTGAACTGTCAAACACCGGAGTTGGGTATTAAAAGCATGCACTTGTGCTTAAAATACATTTCACTAGGTATTGGATTAAAATGATGCGGTCCAGAGCATTTTTTAAGATAAGATAATGAAATTTAAATTAATCTTTGCCATGGAAGACTTTGCTTCTTGGAAAGGTTTTTATAATTTCTTTATAGTTGGAGGAGGTGGTTGAAACGGAT